GCGCCACCCCCTGTGATGCACAGAGCAGGCCCATCAGGGGGTTGGGGAGCTCCCCCCTGTCACTCACAGAGTAGGGCCGATAGGGGGAGTTAGGGCACCGCCCCCCTTGTCACCCACAGAGCAGGGCCGATCAGGGGGGTTGGGGCGATGCCACCTGTCACACTCAGGGCAGGGCCGATGGGGAGGTTATGGCTCTACCCCGTCACACACAGAGCAGGGCCCGTGGGGGGGGGGGGGTTGGGGCGCTGCACCCTGTCACACACAGAGCCACAGGGCGATCAGGGGGTTTGGGCGCTGCACCCTGTCATGCTGATCTGGTGCCAGGAGGCCTCGCGGCTCGGCTGATCCCGGTGCTGGGAGGCATATTACCCTTTTACTATATAGGATAGAGGCCTGGGGGCCTGCTGGTTTGCCCTGAAGGGTGTCCTGGATCAGGGTGGGGGTCCCCACTGGGGTGCCTGGCCAGTCTGGATGAGGAGATGATGGCTGTTTGCAGCTGGTCACATACCCTTCAGGGTAGGGGTCCCCACTGGGGTGCCTGGCCAGTCTGGGTGAGGGGCTGAGGGCTGCTTTCAGGCTGACTGAAGCTCCCAACCGCTCCTTTTTTTCTTTTTTTTTTTTTCTTCTGGGCTAGCTTTAGCTCTGGCTCTAGCTCTGAGGCTTCCGCTGCTGGTTTGTTTGCCGTTCTATAATCGAAACAATGTATAACTTCAGCTCTGAGATCCCAGCCGGCTATATTTGTTAGAATGTTTCAAACTGCCAGCTCAGAGGCCGGCAGCGGCAGGCGGGGAACGTTGGAGTCTGCAGTCACGGGAGCAAGCAAGCCTCACGTTCGCTTCCAGCTGCCTGGCTGCCGGCTGCCATCTTGGCTGACAGTTAATTTGCATAAGGATATGCTGATTAGCCAATGGGAAGGGTAGCGGTCGTACGCCAATTACCATTTTTCTCTTTTATTAGTGTAGATATGGCTAAGCAACCAGCCAACCTGGCTGGTAAGTATGAAGTGCACTGACCACCAGGGGGCAGACGCTCAATGCAGGAGATGCCCAGCTATAGCAACTCTCGCACTCCGGGACCCCCAGGGGAATGTCTGAGAGCCAGTTGCCCAATCCCCACAGACCTGCCGGAGGGACCCCGCTCACTCCCCAGACACCCTTCAAGCTGTGGTGCCACCCCAGATGCGGCCAGCGAGGGAGATACTGCGGGAGGTTGGCTCCAGGGCGTGTCCAGTCCGTCTTGCAAGTCCCACCCCGTCTGCCACCTTCTAATTAATTTCCTTTCAATGTGCATGAATCCGTGCACCGGGCCACTAATGCTCTAATAATGTAACTTGTAAAGACATAAAATAAAATATTTTACTATCTTAGGTTCAGCTCATTGATTCATTTACTCACACTAGACCAGTGATGGTGAACCTATGACACGCGTGTCAGAGGTGACACGCGAACTCATTTTTTTGGTTGATTTTTCTTTGTTAAATGGCATTTAAATATATAAAATAAATATCAAAAATATAAATCTTTGTTTTACTATGGTTGCAAATATCAAAAATTTTCTATATGTGATATGGCACCAGAGTTAAGTTAGGGTTTTCAAAATGCTGACACGCCGAGCTCAAAAGGTTCACCATCACTGCATTAGACAGACCTGCATTTGATTTCTGCTCCACTTGTTGCTCAGTGTGTAGCACAAATTTTTCAACTTGAGCTTCAGTTTCCTCTTACTTGAAGTGGCCAAATATTAGTCACACATCCTCAGAGGTACTTAAGGACTTGACATAGTACTTTGCACATACTAAGTGTTTAACAATTCTAGCTATGATCATTTTATTCTAAATTTATGTTACCTTATAACTATGCTCTTGTATAAAGTCAATAGTTTACTTTTGTTTTTGGATTTATGAAAATCCAGTGGTTCTGTAGCTTGTAGTTAACATGGGCATTTATTTCTTCATGAATTACAATGGATCTGTTATGGACCCTAGACTTTACTAACAGTTCGTCGACAGGTTTGGATAAAAGAGAAGAATTTGATATTCAATTCATTAATTGTGTAAAGCTAAGGAATCAGCAGCCTACACAGCTGAATGAAAATCCTAGAAATGGCCATTTTAGCAAATGTGCTTACAAAAAAGCACCTATGTATTAAGGCTTTTCTCAAGTAGCACCTAAGTAGAGAAAGACAACATTTCCTGTTAGACCCTCAAAGCAGAAAAACATCACGTAGTTTAAATTCCAGGTTTTGGTAAGAAAAACTTTATTTCTTTCATTATATATTCAAAGTTTGTTTTAGAATTTTTTTTCTTGTTCAGTTAACTAAAAGTCATTCTTGGGCATAATTGGAATTCAGGTTACATTCAATATTAAAGGTTTGCTATTTGCTTGACTTACATGACAAATCATTCAAGTTTCTAAAATCTACACTGTTGTCCTTTTTGCTTAGTTTAGCGGGAAAATAACTAATAAAAGAGAAAACATCTCCTTGGTAAAGATGAACTTAGGAGGACGAGTCCAAGCAAATGTCAGGATATGAAGTCAATATGTTCATAAATGAGAAGGGAATTTGGTCATTACTTATTCATGTGTTAGTTTTAGAAATATATATTTAAAAACTTCTGAGTACCTGGCACTGTGCTAAATGCAGTGGGGACATAGACTCATGTAAAACTGTCCTGTCTTCAAGAAGCAAAGGAAGACTGGGCCATCAATGGTTATACCACAGTGTAGAAAATGTTTCATTCTCAAGCAGATATAGGATGCTATAGGAACACCATGGGAGGGAAGAAGAAAACCACAAAAAAACAAGAAGAAAATAAGCTGCAGAGAAACACAAAAGAGACTCAGAAAAAGCAAAAACAATTTTAATAAAGAAAATGTCTGCCCTTCTAGAATAAATACATTTAATACTTTGTGTGTATACTACATCAAAGATATGTCTTGTTCTTTAAAATATCTTTTCTCTAAATGATTCTGAGGCTCAATCATGATTACAGGATACATGAAATTAAGTGTATTAACATGACACAACTATTCAAGATTCTATATAGTGCATTATTTAAAAGACTCCACATAGTTTATACAGATCAACATGGGCTATATGAAGTGTTTTCAGCTTTCAGGTATTTATCCCTCCTAGCCAGGGTGAACATTCTTTTAACATTGTATCTTGGTGTCTTTTTTTGAAGATGGACGTTGAAAAGTAAAAATGAAATACTATATGGACACTGATATATGGTAAATACACTTAGTGTTTTTATACATTGTAAGCTGTAAATGCTTTTTGAATTGCAGGTATATTTATGCTAGAAAGCTTGACAATTTGCAAATACTGAACAGTTTGTGAAGAATGGAAAACCCTTTGACCATCAATTCAAATAGATATAATTCAAACTAATTACTTTGAAATCCTTTGATTGTTGGGTACCAAAACAGTTTTAAAGTTAGGGAACTGTTTTCCCACTTAACTCTTGTGGGTGGCCCAATCCCCCATTGTATTCACAGAGAAGTATACTTGTATAAGTGATAATTAGAAGCAAATTAAATCCTGCTTAAAATTAAAAAAAAATACAAATAACTCCTGAATGACTTTAGACTATAGGTATGCAAGACATAGACCCTCCTTTACCTCCACATCCTGGATGCTATTTGCATGCTGTCACCTCTGTAACAGACTGAAATGATGCCTATCATTACATTAGGGTCATCCAATCTAGTGACAATCTCATCAGGAAGGCTCAATGTAATGAGAATATCAGATGTAGTGCTTCTAAAGATGTTAATAGTAATACTTTAAAGAAAGTTCATTCCAACAAATACAATATAAAAAGTTTTTGTAGTATATGCATAAATTTACAAAAAGCATTTCAAGGATGTCTGGTCAAAACTTTTGTCAGAAGATTCCAAAGCCCATACGTCCCCCCCCCCCCCCAATGTAATTGTGACAACCACAAGAAAAGCAGTGAAAATCAAGTCAGGAAGATCTTCATCTTTCCTCAATGAGTTCAACCTCATTCCTTGGTTGAACAGGCAATAAAATATGTTGCCGGTTGTGCTTGTTTCGAAACAGATGTGAGCTGGGACCATAGGCTACAGCCGTTTCAGGTCATTATCATTGTTGTTGATTTTTTTAAATGCGACTGGGCTTGCTTGCTTCAAAGAAGTCTTGGAAACATCTGTGTGCATGGTAGACATGGCTATTGTCTCATAGTCATCATCCCGAGACCGGAAATCACAAAAGTTAAAAAAGAACTGCAAGTCCCTCTGAAAATTTTTGTTCAGGAATCCATAAAATATGGGGTTGACACAAGTGGATATCATTGCAGTGAGGTGGCAGAGCAGGAAGAAGAGATTATGGTTGCATACAGCAATAACCTGATGGTTCCAATCAAACACAATGTTAAAGATGGTAAGAGGCAGCCAGCAGACTGCAAATGCTACCACAATGGACAGCAGCATGATGTTGATTCTTTTGGTTTCACTGGACCTGCACTTGTTGTCTCTCATCTTGTCCATCATGTTGTTCCTCCTTTTTAAGCGTATATATATCTATAGAGGGAAGGGGAAAAAAAGTGAGTTCAAACAGAACCACTCATTTAATGAAGAATTCTTTTGAAAGAAGATAAAAAATGGAAATGGTGAGGGAGGGAGGAATTTTCTTACCTTGAAGTAGCAAATAAATATAAAACAGAGTGGGCCAAAATACTGCAGCACCAAGAGGAGAGTGGTATAAGACAACCTATGAAATTCCGATGGGAATTTATCATAGCATACGTATTTGTCCTTGTAGCCATCAAGTGTAAAATTCTTGAGTGGTTCATCTGTCATGACTTGATAGATCAGGAAGGGTAAAGAAGAAGCCACAGCAAGAAGCCAAATGACGGCAATAGCTACATAAGCGTGTCTATTATTTGGTCTCCACCCTCGTGGGTTGATTATCAGCTGATGTCGTTCCACAGCAATGAGAACCAGAGAGAAAATGGACACAGTGATTGAAACACATTGCACAAAGGGATTCAACTTGCACATCGCCTGACCAAAAACCCAATGGTCCATTATTGTGTAGACAAATGTGAAGGGGAGACACATGATGGCAACAAGCAAGTCTGAGAAGGAAAGGTTCACAATCAGGATGTTGGTAACATTTCTCATCTCTTTTTGTCTCAAGATGATTACAATCAAGGCCAAGTTTCCAGTGACCCCAAGAATAATCACAGCTCCATAAGCTAGAGCTAATGTAAATATCATGGCCAAAGGCAAATGACAATCATCAATTTCAAAAGCCAAAAACTGGGAAATATTCTTTGAAAAATTATAGTTGATTGAATGATTTTCAACCTGGAAAACTATTGTTGAATTCATTTTGATTGGTTTGGTTATTATCAACCACTTTAGACAAATGGACAGTATGTTTCTTCAAAGTAGATCAAATGTTCAGCTTATTCTTATTCCCCATATTGGCATCCACTTATCAAAATTATTCTGAATTCTTCATCCCCTTGAACTGAACAATCTGTAAAGAGAAAATGACCAACTGCATTACTAATTTTATTGAGGGCAGGCAAAATGAATTCTAACTTATAGCACTGTTTAAAGTGAAGACACTGAAATAAATAAACAAAATGAAATTTGTATAAATATCTTTTAAAAATAGTAGTCACAGTGAAGTATCTTAAAAACATAAAAAAATAAAAATAGTAGCCACAGTGCAAACATTTTGAAAAAAAAACTCAAAATTTTTCATTAGATGTGCTTACACATTGAGTTGCAGCAAAACATAGTGAGTGGTCTGTATATTAGTAAGGTGTATGTAAATCTCATGTTCAAAATCTTAACATAAACAGTACTATCAGCACATTCCTAAACACTAAGAATATGAATATATAACAACAAACTTAATGCACAGCTTAAGACATAAGAAAAATACATGAAATAAGCGAAGAAAAAAAAACCAACAAAAACAAAACTACCTAATCCTTTCCCTTACAATAGAAATGAAAGAATTCTTGTGGAGATCAAGTTGTAATAATAGCTCTACCATACACTGAACTTCTCTTTAAGGCAGACATTACTTAACACAAATATATTAAAAAAGAAATGATTAATACAGTGAAACATCAAGAAACCTTGTCATATGAAGGGCTGTTGAAGGAACAGAAGATGTGTAATCCAGAAAAAACTTAACAGGAATGGTATAGATGTCTTCCCATATTTGAGTGAGTAGCATCTGGCATAAGACACTGAGCTTCGAAAATTATATCTAAATGTACAAATTAGAAGTAGAACCAAAGGAAGTATATTATATTAAAAGAAAAAAAATTTCACATCATTATGAGGAACAAATGTTTAATCAAATGGAATGAACTGCCTGCAAATGTAGCAAGTGTCTATACACTCAAGTTTACAGTATAACTACTACCTGTAAGACTTTCTGGTTCTTGCATTTGTGTAGGATAGCTCTGACGTTCTTTCTAACTGTAAGATTGTATGAGTTTATTAATATGTCAGAAGCTTTCAAAGGATGTCTAAGGTTCTATTTTTATAAATATCCTCCCTTCCCTCTAGATTGTATACAGATACAATGCAGGATCTAATTTCGGTTATAATTTTGATCCTTCACTGCATTTTTACCAACAAAACAAATGACAGACCATAGTTTTGTAAAGACTAAAAACTCCTTTTGAAAAAAAATCTGATTTATCCTAGATTGTTAAGTAAATTTATGACATGAGATTTCTCATGTTAACTAACAGGCCATTGTGCCTATGTTAAGAAAGGAAATTTCTCGCTTATGTGCAGACAATAAAGGAAATCAGGCAGATTTACTTCCATTAAAAAGAAGATAAAACATCTAATGAACCAACAATATGTTTGCCTTTTAAGTGGTGTCTCCAATGAACTTTTACTTGAAGTGTTTTGCTTTCTAGGATGTGGAGTGTTTTTTATTTTACAACCACAACTTGAATTTATAAGACAAAAGTAATAAAAATAACGGTTGCTAACATTATGTGAGAAAGTATTAAGACTAGGAATAGTAGTGGAATGATTTCAACTGTGAATGTTATTAGAAATATAGTTCTTCTCTCCTCTATGCAACAACCTGTAATGACTCCTAAACTTAGGTGGTAATCACAATTTTGCTCTCAAGAATACCAAAGGCAAGAGAGAATGACCCGTCTCCAGGTTTCTGAAAACAAACTTTGAAAAAACAAGTAATAATTTAAAAATTCTTTGGAAATGTCTTACTTAAGAATTCAAGAAGCCCGGCTGGTGTGGCTCAGTGGTTGAGCATCAACCCATGAACGAGGAGGTCAGAATTTGATTTCTGGTCAGGGCACATGCCCAGGTTTTGGGCTCGATCCCCAGTTAGGGGGTATGCAGGAGGTAGCCGATCAATGATTCTCTCTCATCATTAACGTTTAATCTCTCTCTGTTTCCCTTGCTCTCTCTGAAATAAGTAAAAACATATCAACAATTTTAAACAATAATTTAAAAAAAGAACTCAAGAAAATTTTGCATCATGCTTCATGTTACCAAGATATTTAACATTAGTTTTTCTAATGTTAAATATATTGAGTTTTTCTCATTATTAAAAGTAAAAATAGCTGAATAGGAAAGTATGTCCTCTTTTTTCTCTGACTTCTCATGGCTCCCTCTCACTGAGTATCACCAGGTGAATAAGTACCCAGGTATGAGATTTGAACTATTGAGTACATGCCTCAGCCTGAAGACCTCTACATTCTCCCCTCTTCTGCTTTGCACTCCTAGCTCTAATAACCCCATTATGAGCGCTCTGTTCCAGGTAGGCCAGTCTCTTCACAGTCCACTAGTGCTCTTTGCTTGTTTTAACATCTACAACCTTTGCCTCTGCCATTCCTCTTGCTGGTTATTCTGTCTCATTACCAATCCAAGTCTGCCCATCTTTCAAAGTGTCATTTAGTCCCTCAAATCCTTAATTGGCTCCTCTCAATTATAATATAAACTTTTTTGGGGAGGTACTTTCATACCTCATAGTGCCTTGCAAATATTAGATTAAGGATAATTAGATAAGGATAATTATGACTGACAGCAGATGCATGATTGGAGCAGGTTCTTCTCTGAATTAGTCTTAACACCAGTAGCTGAATTCTACCCATCTTTTTACAAGCAGAATGGATGCCAATTCAATAGACTATAAATTTTTTTCTCTTTATTGATTTTTATTTATCCATTTTATTTTACGTTTTTTACTCCTCACCTGAGGATATTTTTTTCTATTGATTTCTAGAGAGCATGGAAGGGAGGGAGGAAGGGGGATGTGTGTGTGTGTGTGTGTGTGAGAGAGAAAGAGAGAGAGAGAGAGAGAGAGAGAGAGAGAGAGAGAGAGAGAGAGAGAAATCAATGTAAGAGAGTCACATCAATTGGTTGCCTCCCCCACATGTCCCTCCCACATGTCCCTCCCACATGTCCCTACTGGGGTTGGGGCACCTGCATGTGAAGTAAATGCCCTTGACAGGGAATCGAACCTGGGACCCTTCCATGCACAGGCCGATATTCTAACCACTGAGCTAAACCAGCCAGGGCTCTGATTGATTTTTTGAGAGAGTGGAAGGGAGAGGGAGAGAGAGAGAGAGAAATATTAATGTGATAGTGGAACATGGATCAGCTGCCTCCTACACAACCTGGCCACAAGCCTTGACCAAGAATCAAACTGGCAACCTTTTGGTGAATGGGACAATGCCCAACTAACTGAGCCACACCAGCCAAGGCCAATAGATTTTTTTTTTTAGTTAGGTCAGGTATGTAGGAAGAAATGTTCCACTTTGTGTTAAAAAGGAAACTTTCTAAAAGAAAATTCATTCATCCAATAAATACTTATTGAACACTTATGTTGTGTCAGACATGGTTTTAGTGGAAACAGTTGTGACATTCTCATTGAGTTTCTAGTCTTGTGGGCAGAGAAAGACAAAAATAAACAAACGAACAAACAAACAAACAAACTATGCCAGATGATAATAAGTGCTATGGAGAAAACTAAAGCAAGGAAGAGAAACTAGAATTGTTGGGAATTGCAATTATTCCTGGGTGGTAGGAAAGGCCTCCACTTGCCTGAGAAGATGGGAGGAGGCCATACAGAGATCTCACGGATTGCATCCCATATGGATAGAATATAAAATCCTTAAGGCTGTATACCTGGTGTGCTAAACAGCACTGGGAAAGGTAAACAGAGGAGGAACAGATGGTGTAGGGACCTATTCCATGGGACAGCCTTTGACTTTTTCTCTGAGAAAGATGAGGAGTCACTGGAGAGTCTTCAATAACGGCATGAAGTTACATAACTTGTTTTACAATTGTTACTCTAGCTGCTGTTTTCAACAGACTTAAGAACAGGGAAGAGAAGTAGGGAGATTCATTAAGAAGTTAGTGCATTAATCCAGGTGAGAGATAATGAAGGTGCAGACCAAGGTGTTGGCAGAGGAAAGGAAGGAAAATGGACATTTTACATCCACTGACTTTGACAAAATTCAATACGTATGGGAATGAATGCAAACATTTATTAAACTATCACAATGTGTGGGCTACAAAGATAGCCTTCTTACAAGTGATTTTATTTTATTTTTTAAAATATATATTTTATTGATTTTTTACAGAGAGGAAGGGAGAGGGATAAAGAGTTAGAACATCCATGAGAGAGAAGCATCGACCAGCTGCCTCCTGCACACCCGCTACTAGGGATGTGCCTGCAACCAAGGTACATGCCCTTGATCGGAATCGAACCTGGGACCCTTCAGTCCCCAGGCTGACGCTCTATCCAGTGAGCAAACCGGCTAGGGCACAAGTGATTTTAGGTAAATATACTGAAACTCTTTAATATCTTTAAATTTATATTTGATGGACATTTCCTGTGGGGAATAGCATTGTTCCTAACTAAGAAGTTAACTTAGCTATAAAGAGAATGAAAACTATTTTTTAAGTATTTGCAAGCCTCCTTTGCTAAGTGAATTGTTGGGTAGTCATTCCAGTTGGATAAAACAGTTCCCCATTGAGTAAAATGTATATTTTCAGCCTACCTTAGTATAATTTCAAGAAAAAGTAATCGTCAGAAAACAATACTAGGAGAGAAAGGATTTACATACATTATCTTTGCAAAAAATACTTTAATATTTATTATTCCAACATATATTTCTAAAATAAGGTATGCAACTACAGACACTGCAAAAATTCAAGATTGTTAAATCTCATAGCTGCCATGTGCATTTACAGACAAAATAGAGACACCACATACTTCACCAGTTGGCAAATTAGCCCCTTTCCAAACAGACATTTCTTTCTCCCTCCCGATTAGAACACTGGCCTTTCACCCCTTCCTTGCTGTTCTTAGTGCTGCTACTACCTGAAAGCACAGCTTTCTGCATTTCATAGCCTGCGGCAGATAAATGTAGTTCATGGTCTCAGAACTGGCTGTTCACCTCATCTGTTTTGGAAAAGAAATATCAGTCTGGCACACGCAGCCTCCCAAAGTTACTGCAAGTTTAACTCCATAAGTTACATAACTCTCTGTTCCTTCCTTTCCAAGGAGGGCTTGTTCAACAGACAGCTGCCTTAAAACAATAAGGAAGACTGATACACCACAGTCACCCACCAAAAGGCTCTGATCGATAGTCATGGGTGGGGAACTGAGCTGGATAGCTTTCTGTTCTCTCTTGCTTCATCAGGAGACAGCCTGGAATCTTGGGACTGACAGCTACGGTTTCTATCCAAGCAGAGAGACAGACAGACAGACAAGCTCCGCACTTCCCCAGGCCTGTATGCCATCTAGCCAGTTACCCTTTCCCCTAGGGTGCAGGTGGGCATGGCAAATCTGAGAGCTCTTAAAAAAAGGGGGGTGGGGGGATGTCCAAGAACACTCCCTGCTCTTAGGCGCCCACCGTTTTTATATTGTGTAACTAGGTTAATTGCCCCCAGTTTTCCTCATTTCTGACTCCCACCCCACCCCCCAATACACACATTTGCCATACATCTATTAGGGAAGAACTCTGCCTATGATGATGAGAGGCTGGCAAAACAGAAAACATCCAATCTAACTAAAAACAAACGAGCAGAGTCCACACTGGGTCAGTTCTCTTCGGCTCAACATCAGCCCTTAAAACCATAGCCTCTCTCCAGTCTACCTGGGGACCACAGGGACATTCATTCCTAAGCCACCTCCACCTTCATTCAGCTCAATCTTCCAACCCAGCCAGGCTCCCACCATCACTGTTCTCAATGCAGCTGAAGAGTTAGACGATGAGAGCTGGGAAATGGGGGGAGAGGGCTGGAGCGCAGGGTCAGCTTGGGAGGGCCCAACGCAGGGGGATGGGCTCCATCCCAGCCCAGTCGCAGGGACCCCCAACTGTCCCAGGGAGTAGCTGGAGCCCCCCTCCCCTGCCACCCGTGCCGAGGGAGGGGGTCTAAGCAGGATGGCCCGCTAAGCCCACCCTCCCCAGAGCATCCAAGTGCTGGCTCCTCCGCGAAAACTCCAGTGCAGCCACCCGCAGAGGCTCCAGAAAAATGCGGCCGAGGAGCAAGGTGCGGGGAAGACCACTAGGGCACCTGCCCACCCCCTCGGAGAACCCGAGGAGAGGGGAACTCCGATCCCGTCCAGAAATCCTCAGGAGCCCGGCTTGCGGATGCGCCAAGTCCCGGGTACCCACGTCCCTAACCGCGGCCGGAGTCCTGGAATTGCCCGGTCTCTCGAAGCACCTTGCACCTGCCCACACCGGGACCTGAACAAAAAGGCAGACTCCTGGCCCCACCTCGGACCCCAGAGCCCATTTCGGGCTCCCGCGTGCTTTTTCCTCCTCTCCCATTCTTCACTCCATCAATGAGCGATTTCTCTCAAGTCCCTGAAAAGGTGTAAACTTGAAACTTACCCTCTGTCGGATTAGTCTTTTTCCCGGTTTATCGAAGCGGGAAGGATAGCTATGCAAGGGAGCAAGCAGGGAGGGGAGAAAAGAACGCTGGTATTTCTCTCGCTCAAATCCTAAAGATTGATGGAGATCAGCAGAGACGCCCCCTTAAAGCCGAACTCCACCTCATCCCGGGGTCACGTGACTCGCCCCCGGAGTGCGCCGGGAGCTCCCCCCACCGCAAACACCTAACCTTGGGTGTGCACCTCGGGGGTGCGTTTCCTAGGCATTCCGGAAAGAAATGCAATTGGATCCTCACGTTGTTCGGCAGAGGCGCACATTGTTAGACACAGACTCGGGATGTGGAGGAAGTCAGCGCTCATCCCCGCAGGGTCCTGGCCGCCGCGAAGGCCAGGCAATTTGCAGGGCATTTAACAAGTCGGTGCCACTGCGCTCCTTTGTTTGCAGGTCGGTGCCATCTTGTGGCCGAAGTTATACGACTCGGAAAGCCCGGCGCCCAAGCCCCGCTCAAGAATGAAAGGGGTTGTTATTGACGGGAAGAGGAAGCATGAAGTTCACAGCCACCACATGCCACTATATGTTTCTTGCTTTCTCTTGTGACGTTCAAATGTTTCTTATGCCAGTGCCGAGGTTTCCCCCCCACCCCCCTCATTTTAAAAGTGAAGAGAAGACTTTTAAAAAGCACAAGAAGCGAATCGGATGGAGAATCTGGTCTTTGACTCCACCCTTCTTTCCACTGAGAAAATGCATCGAGTCCGATTTGTTCCCACAGTCTGGCTGCCTTTTATTTATTTTTTATTTTTTAATTTTTTTTTTAGGGGAGCAGGATGAACGGAACATTTCCAGGGTGGTCAAAGAGTTAATGCCATTTCCTCGGTGCTTACTCTACAACTGCACTGAACATTAGGAAGAAAAGAATTGAATGTGCACAGAGTATCGACGGTGCAGAACCATCATGGTGCCCAATGATTCAGGCTAATTAATGGTCTGCTGATCTCAGATGTTTCACACAGTTCCGTTCTAGTTTGAAAAGTCAAAGCTGTGTCATTCACACACCCCAATTATTTACTGATGTAGATGAATAAAACTTTTTCCAAATAAAACTGTCAAAAACTAAAGTCTTCTGAATAAAGATATAGGACACTGCCTAGGGGTTTATATAAAGGTTTTATTGCATAACTACTATGATTGCATTCTGTCTTCAAAACTAAAAACTAAACAAAATTCCAAGACACTGTTAAGAAATGTTTTCTTTTCCTGGTTGTTAGGCTGAATAAACACTATTTACAACTCAAGATAGGACATAACTCATTTATTTATACAGAATAATGTACACAATCTCTCCTTTTTGTTGCAGGAAAGCTTTTTCATTGGAAGTTGTCATTAGGCATTTTTATATAGTTGGGAAGAGACATGATCAAGAATTAAAATATCGTAATTATGTAATAAATGTACTATAATAGATATGAGAATACATTTAGAAATGTCCCATTAATGGTTAAACAGAATAATATGGTATAATATATATTTTCCTTTTTCTTCTTTTTATCAAGGATGAAAATTAAGGCATAATTTAGGAATTTCAATTCTTTTAAAGAGCAATAACTCATTTATGTTTCCACTCACCTCTGTTCACTCCATTTAAGTCACATTCTGTTCTTAGAAGCAAGTTTATCCCAAGGTGTTGATCATTAAATTGGCTATTTTTAGCCTATTGCAAGAATTACAAATGAAATAATTTAATTCTCTATGAAGAACACGTTTTATTAAACATTTTTGCTTTATCAGCAAGTATTTTGGATTTGAGACCTTAATTTGGACACATTACTTTCCTTTCTGTATTTTCCCAGAATACTAATAAAAGAAAGTCTGTACGAATGTATTTTGTCACCTTATAAACTTAATTTTTATAAAGTGTCCCCCAAAGGCAAATTTATAAAGCTGCATTCTTGAGATAGTCATATCAAATACCCATCTTTGAAAGATTATTGGTCTCAAGGACTCTATGTCAAATTTAATGGTACAAACAGAAGTTTTGAAATGCTCCTCAGCAACAGCAAAATCATTTAATTCTCTAGGAATATATCATTTAGTAAGTACTCTTTCCAAAGTGTAAAATAGTAAAATAAAGCATAGTAAAATCATCAAATATAATGTAAGATATTCTTATAATATAATCTTGGAAAGTTTGAAATAAAATAGTCTGAGTTCCTCAGAAGATACATGTCAACAGATTTGCTGAAGAGAAGATATGTATTAAATAAAGATAATTTCTTTTTCTCCTCTTAAGTGGTCAGTCATATAACTTTCTATTTAGTATTTAAACCAAATAAAAACCTTTGCTACGGAGAGAGAATTGTTTGCCTTTTGTGTGTGTGTTTCCTTCTGAAATTTCATGACAGCCTGACCTTATTAACCATGACTAGGATAATTAATGACCTATTCTCATGTCCTCTTGGGCAATCATCCTGTTCTGTCATTTAAACAGAGGGATAGAATCTACTCATTGAATCTGTGTAGATCTTAGTTTTATCTTTTACAAATAGGCTTAACTTTTAAATTCCATGACTCAATAATTGTCTAGATAAAGGTGTGTCACTATAAACTTGGTATAATAATTTATTCACTGCAATTGCTCTTTTGATCACCTGGTAAGTTCTGCTGGGAGGGTTAAGGTTCCTGAAATGCTATTAGGGCTTGGAATGGGAAAATCATAATAAATTATCATTCAGAAAAATCTCAATAGGCATGTAACTGAAAATGTAACTGGGAAACTAGAATATAGATGATATTGATAAGGGAGAAATTCCACTGGGGTAGAACTTACTATGCAACATATTGGTGAGTCAGTTCACATTCTATAAATTAATTATGTGCCAGTTTTCCCTTCTTTCTGTGACTTCCCTACTGGATTTCTTTGAAAGTTTAATCCTATGAAATATAAGTTGCAATGTTATTTTATGGACCACTAAAAAAGAAAAAGAATGCTTCCAGTACAGCAATAACATACATTTAATTGTAAATTGATCTCAAAGGTAGAGTATTAAAATGTTAAATAAATAATCCTCATCTTAGAATGTTTGAAATGTAGTCAGTAAAGAGTTTAACCAAATTGCTTCGTACAAATAGTGTATACAATCACTTTACTCAATTGTCTTTTTGAGAGAATTAACTAGCAGAAAGAAATAACAAAGTAGTTAAAATGGTAGTATACAAGTACATAGACAAACAATTCAATTAACTTACTAGTGTAGAAGACACCAGGTGCTATTTATGGATTTGTTCTTGATTGTAAATAGGAATGCACTTCAACAAAAGTTTTCATTTGGTTACATAGGCTACAAATTTAGAGCATTTGTTTTAAAACTGTCAGAAAAAGATTCTAGAGGACTGGGATCTTAAAAATTATTTAGTGAGCATCCAAACATTTCCCTGCAGATCTCATCTTGTCAGACACCCTTTGGACATTCAACAAAAGTATAATGCTATTTTACAAAAGTGTAGCATTTTGTATTTGTTGCATGCCTAATGAAAAGACGTTTGGCATTTTCACTATTATTGTTATTTTTAAGTTATAATTATTACTATTTCCTTCATATCTCTTTCCAAAGAGATGTGCAGTAGGATTGGCTGCTAAAAGGGGAAAGTATGAATGCTACCACTGAACCTTCCATCATCTGTGCCAAGCATCTCTCACTGTTCATCTTGCCTCACTCCCACTCCCCAACCCACTCCCACCTCTGAAATCTCAGGCTTGAGATTGGTACCAGACCCCTTCACAACGCAGCACTTCCTGAGATAGGGAAATTTCTCCCAAAGATAGCAAAAATGTTCCTTATGTGCACCTAAGTAAGATCACTAATAGGCACAGAGGTGATATGAAGTGTTCCCAGGTATCACTTTGCTTAGGTAAGTTATCCTCTCTTCATTCCTTTGTTTAAGGTCTAGCTGTTGCTTTTCTTTCCCGAGATACATATAAATCTAGGAAGAGGATAAATATCCAAGAATGGGCTCTGGCTTAATCTGACTCTTCTCAACCCAGGAGACTACTTAGCTACCACTTGCTGCTAGCATAGCATGTAGGTGAAGTTGCACAGATTATTACAACTATAATTTCAAACCCTGACTTGAGCCTCAAATATTTCCTTGAAATTCTTGGGCTTGGATGAGTCCCAATTTCTCCCTTACAAGATATTCCAAATTGTCACCACTCTCTTCCAGCCTCCTACCCCATACCTTCAGTCTCAATGGACTCCTCCCTTCCTTCCAAAGTGAGTATACTAGTAAGACATAGGGTATTTACTCCCTAACTTTTACATCCCTCAATTGGGCAGCAGATCTTCCAGCACAGCTGTTTCAGGCCCCAGACTTTGAGTCACTTTAACCCACAGAGTTTTCCCAGCTGGCACTCCAAACATCATAGGACAGAGACAAGCCATCATCATTGGGCTCTCCCTCTCAGTCCATGAGCATAAAATCCATGTTGTTTTAATTCTACTAGATTTTTGGGATTTTGGGAGGCTTGTTAAACAACAGTAACATAACTATACCACCTGTTTATTCAATAACTACAGGCCTGGTGCACGAATTCATGCATGGGTGGGATCCGGCTGGCCAGCCCTGATGGGGCCAATCAGGCTGGTCCAGCCGGGGGGGGGGGGGGGGGGGGGGCGGGGCTGCAGGTGGTTGACAGCCCCTCCCTCTTGGTTGAGCTCCTGGTTGAGGGGACAATTGCATATTAGCCTTTTATTATATAGGATTCCATTTTCTTGGCTTAACACTAAAATAAAAAGAAAACCAAAATTGCTCACTTTTTTTCCATTGTAATTCCCTCACTCATGTCATAGCTTCTCTGGCTGCCTTCTCTTGCCTGGTAGCTTCTCCAAGAATAGGGTATGTTTATTGTCCTCTCATTGGCCCCTCAAATGTGGCCCACCTGAAACTGTGTCTGCCTCAGACATCAATGGCTGAAGCCAATTGACACAACTGAGACTTATTCCACTTGTTCTTTATGTTGCATTTCACTCTCTTGACCATCCTATCCTCCTGGAATCT